CTGGGCAGATTGAGGTCTAAGAACTGTATGATGGCAGATTGAGGTCCAAGAACTGTATGATGGCAGATTGAGGTCCAAGAACTGTATGATGGGCAGATTGAGGTCCAAGAACTGTATGATGGGCAGATTGAGGTCCAAGAACTGTATGATGGGCAGAACTGTATGATATGAAGACCTGTATGTTGGTCAGGTCATAGTAGTCGTCCGGGACATCCTTCACTCCATGATACTAACCAGGTCCTGCTCCCAGTCAGTGTTGGAGTCAGTCATCACAACAGTAGTACTTGGCTAGGGAAACAGTACATGCTTGATGTATGAGACAAGATATCAGCATTGACACTGTGTCACTATTAGCTGTGCTTGATGGGAAACAGTTATGAAACATTAGCATCTGTGGGAGGAGGTGTCTCCGACTAATGTAGTCGTCACTTTCATGATATTTTAAGCAATACAGGATCACTCTGCATGAAAACTTGCATTACATGGTTATGACCGACAGATGTATTCATGTTCCTTTTTTTTCGAAAGAGCAGTATGTGTTGTTTTTAAGCTCATAACTGTATATTTGGATGTTCCGGGACTGTTTTCATGAGTAGAGCCATGACAAAGCCCTACAGCTTTTATTTCTAACACTGATTGAGACAAACCACACTGTCAGAGAAATTATCATCAGTTTTTTTCAACTAACTCAATTCAACAAAAGTAATGTGACCATGGAATGATGAAAGATGGGTTGTCTTGTTGTAAAGGAACACTGCGAAAGCAAAATGTATCGTTGAGGACCGGTGTGCTGTAGATTTCCCCTGAGACTTGATTTGCTGTTTCATATTGGATATAGTTTAGGAATGTAACGCCTTGTGCTGATCAATTATTCAAAGGAGCTGCTACTACAGAGCTGAAAATACTCCAACCTTCCGAATATTGAACAAGAAAACCCTCTTTGCTATCTTCCTGGAGAGCGTCAGTTTACTGCATATAACTGTTTGTTCTTTTGTGCAAGGTTTTGTTTATGTTCTTTGATATTCAATACGGCTGAAATGTGAATTGATCTGGGCTTAGGAGACGTGGAGTGTTGCAGGAGGTGTGACTGTCTTCTTCTACACTCAGTGGTCGCTTGATTGGCTACTGCAGAAGAGATTATTATGTCAATAAACTTCTCTCATACTTACTGTGGGAGCATTGGTGGCCCAGTCGTCTAAGGCGCTGTGATTAGCTGTGCAGAGTTGCATCCCTTGGCATGCCATAAACCTATAAGTGTGGGTTTGAATCCCTGATTATGTTTCTAGGTTTGTCAGCACCATACCCATCCTTGTGGGTTTCATCGAAGTGGTAAACCTCTAAGACCTGCATCACTTCAGGCTATCCTCCCACACTGACACGCTGTGATATAACTGGAATACTGTTAAAAGCGGTGTTAAACCCAACTCATTCAATCACTCTTACTGTACTTTCACTCTCTTATATCCTGTACTCTCATACTCTCTCGTATCCACTGTTTTTGCACTGACTGATATTCCCTCAAGATGTCCTACTCTCTTGCACCTCTTCCCTTTCACCAGTGCATTGTGAGTTTTCGATACAATACACAATACGTTTTTGCTGTATCAAAACAAGACGATACACTTTCTGAAATAAGTTACTTGCTTCTCAGTTAATGACCTCCCAGTAAATGAGCGTTTTTAACAGTCAAATATTGCAAAATGTATTGTAGTTATCTTTTCAAGTTCAAGAGCTGCTACGAACATGTGTCTACAGCTAGCTCTTCCTTTGGAACCTGCTCTGAAATATTTATGGTCGAGAAGTTTCCACATGATTTGACACAAATATGTGTAGGGCGATACATATCGTATCGTGACCTAAGTATTGTGATATGTATCGTATCATCCACCATTAGCCAGGCTTCAAACAAAACTCCCCACTAATGTAACAATACCATTCTGTTAACAGAACAATGCAACCTTATTCAGATAACATTAGGAAAAAAATCCATTTTCCGAACAATAAAAGTGTATGAATTGTATTCTAAACAAGGTGTATTAATATTAGATCTGACAGAGATGCATTAATGAGGCGGATCGGGAAATAACGTGGATTTGACATGGCAGCTGGTTTGTAGGACCCTGGCAGTAAAACACAGATTTCATATTAACATAATGATGATTAGGTGCTTCGAGAGACGATGGGGGGAGTGGCTGGAGATGGGGAGCACATCAATGTCTCCAGCTCTGTTTTATAGTACAGACCGGAGATGTGTCATTTATGGCTAGGCCGGCAGTGGTTTAAGGGGATGCAATATTCAGAGGTGGATTTGATGATAGATACATGGATATTGACTTGTGTAGTTATTTGTGTATTGGTGGGGGGAGGGAGGGGGGGGGGTTTCCAGGTTGCCAGGTGCAACTGTGAGACAGTAAACAAAAGAGTCTTTACACGGAATATGAAGTATAAATGTCTCCAGTGCACCTCAAATCAGGTCACAGTTGGCAGTGTTTGCCCGCCCTTGCTGAGCTCTTTTATACTGAAGGTGGGAAAGTTTGCTGCGACACAAGTCTGAATAGGCACGAAGGGCCTTCTATACAATGTATATACCTTTCTTTTGTTCACTGTTTGATCGGCCGGCTATGTTGAGCTGCGTAGATGAACGGGTTTTGTGTATGCATAGGGGTTGCCAAGGTGATGCCTTTCTCTGCATTACAAAAGGCCCAGCATTTTCCAATAATGTGGTGGTAGCAGTGGGATACACTGGGATAGACATTTCAGTCTGATTCAAAACCAGGAGAAGTGCGCAATGTGGGTGGGGTCAGCTAAACCTCAGGTGAGAAAAGTTTAAAAATTGCATTTTTCTCGCTTCATCAAAGACAGTAGTGATGTGTTGTTAAAGGCTAGGTCGGTCTAAGGCCGTGGAGAGCTACCTTTGTCAGGCAGTTAAAGTTATCCTAGCTCGGATTGATAGATCGGAATTCAATCACGCTTGCTAAGATGAATGTTCCTCACATTGGTGATTTACATAATTGAGGAGGTTGGTGGTTCAAGCATTGATAAGGACTGAACGCGGACTTGTCTAGAATTCTCCTTCTCTGTGCCGATCTAACTAAATGGTAGTATTTCTACAAACAACAGAGTAATGCTTCACTGTCAGGATTGATTTTGTGTCAGTGTTAAATGTGTGAGAAATGAATTGTATGTGGTGTAATTCAAGTCTGAATATCATATGTAGAAAAAGTAGCTTTTGATAGTTGTTAAAATAGGAGAGAGGCTGAAATCAGGTTGACACTTTTCCCCCAGCATACTGCATTTTACAGGACGTGATGTATCGCAATGTCAGTTTTTTGTGCAATTTATTTCTCACAATAACAGATTGGAATATTTTAATCCTGAAACAAGCTCCTCCTTATCTTGGGCTCCTTCATCAACCAGATAATAGCCCCAAACCTGAATTATGTTTGTATATATTGATGCCAAATGGTTTGTACAGTCAATCAGGGAATGTTGCTATCATTTGTCATCAAACACTTCTTCAGAATGCGTGTCAATTGTTTAATGTCTTTCTGCTTCAGTCGTGGAGTTATATAACATATTAATGCTGAGATGAATTTGATTCGAAAACTGTCTTGTAAACAAGCTAGGAAAGCAATGTTCCTCGAGTTGGAAGATAGGTTAGCTCTGGATTGGATAGGATAGGATAGGAGTTTATTGTACAGAATGTCCTCATGGGACATGGTATGTAGTTTATGTAATGTATATTTGGTACAATTATACATATATATTGATACCAAACTAGACATAATCAGTTCACGTATGTGCAGTTACAAGGAGTGTTTTCTAAACTGGTAACATGTGTTATTGTAGATTATGCCGATGATCTTGAAATAAACATTTGGCGTACGACATTTGAAACACTTTAGCAGCAGAAACAGAAATGAAAACATTGTTTTGAGATGTGAATTTAAGCTTTTGAGTGGTGATTGTTGGCAAGATCTGAAGGATTGATACAGGAGATACCATTGTAGAAAATGTTCGTCTTCTACTTCACCACTTGTGCAGTTGTGTATCACTGTGTTAGGTGTCGAGGAATGAACTGATAAAAGACAAGCCATCAAATCTTAAAATGACTTTCTTTCTAATCGGAATTTGATCTGCTGTCGGTTCTCCTGTGAACTACAATCTGTCGATTTGGTTGTTTCTGAAAGAGAAAAGCCAAGGCACACCTCATACATATGTAGAGGCACGATTGACTCAGAGTGATATTGTGGGTAGGGTAACTAGATGACCCCTGAAAGAGGAGTCATAACTTTCACTATGTGCAATGGCCATAGCTGCAGTGTTTGAATACTAAATTTTTAGGCATGAAGTATTTGTGTATTAAGTTTGCCTTTAACATCAGTCAGGCAGAACAAATTTAACAAAATCCTTTAATAAGAATATAAAAATATTGCCAGGTCATCTTCAGAACAGCCATAAAAACCTTACGCAGAGAAGTAAAAAAAGAATTACTTCGGACATTATCTTAGTTTTATTAAGCAACAGTCATGTGGTGTATGCTGGGAATGTCACTTTCCAAACTAAGACCGTTGGAGGCCAGTTGGGAAAACATTGTTATTTTGTCAGTAAATTCGTAAATTTTGAGTTATTTTAAATTTGCATTAATTGCAGTAATGTAGCACTCCAAAGTAAGCCTCTTCCACTCTGTTGGTACAAGCTACAACCTTATTAACATGAATTAGGAAATTATATTTCCAATTTGGAAAGTTCAGTTTTTGTTTGCTGTGAATTAGGGACCGAACATCGGCCTCTGATCAGGTCTAGATAAATACCTGGCATATAATGTGTAGCTGATTAAAAAAATAATTCAGGAAGAATAATAAGAAATGAAAATATTTTGGAGTGAGAAATGAATGTCGGATAGTGATGTACGGTATCAACCCACTATGGCTCCTCCTCTCATGATGCTCTTGATGCAGTACTAATTGGTCACTAATGGATCCATTCTTTTACTTCAGATGGTGACAAGAACCAAGAAGATATTCGTGGGAGGTTTATCCGCCTCAACGACAATCGAAGATGTCAAGAACTACTTCTCCAAATATGGCGATGTGAGTACAGAAGTAGCGTGTTAATTCTGGAGACAGTGATGAATGTTCCTCCACATCGGCTGATCACAGCGGGCTCTTTTTCTGCCATCCTGATGCTACTGTCCTATCAACTATGTTCGTTTGATAATATGATGTATATATACCATAAAATACCCAATGTTTCAATAACATACGTAGATCGGGGACGAGAGTGTACAATTTTATTTTGTCATTTGTGATTAGTTTTCTTTTGGTTATTTGTACTGGGTAATAAAGGCTTACCTTCTTCTGATATCTTCCCCAAATAATTAGAATAGAATTGTAAAATGTAGGGATTTGAATTAGGATTTAGGTATCTTAAAATCTGTAGTGAAATGCCAGTAAGATCTTTTTTTATTCCCCAATAATTATTAAGTTTTATCTAAAAATGTTTTCCTCAAATCATGAATAATAAAAATACTAATTTCGAAACAGCATTTAATTGTGGTCATGTAAATATTTTCCTTGAGACTAGCATCAATGTAAGCTTGTGCAGGTCCTGCCATCTGGGCTTGTTTTATTTATGGTAACACAGGTGATTGTTAGTTGCTGATTAAAGGTAATGCAGTCACGCAAGGTAACACAACCCAACTGCATGTTTTAACGATAGGCTACCTCTGGCCTTGAAAGTTGTGATTAATTGACACAAAGCATGATAAGCCCGACCCTAAAAAAAAATCAATAGATGGTGAGAAGTGAAGCAAGCCATTCACACTTACTGTGAAGAGCAGTAGGAAAGTAGTATTTTGACTTACTTTATGAAGGGGAAACATCTTGGTAGTGGTAAATATATGGAGCAATTTTTTGGGTCCAGCGCGTGTACAAGATAATGATTGCATGAGTTGATAACTTCATGAATCGCCAGTCAGAAAATTTAGTTTCATTTATTGTCAGTCTTAGGGAAAATAGTTTATTGTGTCGGCCATCTTTTTGCCCTATTTGGTAGACAAAATACAGAGGTTGCATTGTGTATTCAGGATACTGGCAGGGCATGACTGCTCTTGTTTTGTGAGAGAACAGTGGCTTACTGTAAGAAGCTCAAATTCATTAGTTGTGCTCAGAGAAGTGTATGGCTTTGAGTTTCAAATAACACACTCAGTTGAAGTTGATTTTTCTAATTATTAAAAAATATTATGTTAACAAAATTTGATTGGGTAGAGTTTTTGCCTCTCACATATGGTGAATTTCGGACATTTATTTTATAATTGTCATCATTGTGGGATTTTTAAACACAGAAGGGACACTTCTAGTCCCAGTCGTGCCAATTTGTTTCAGGAAAGTAGCTTATTTACTCACGGACAGCCATTTTGCATCTAAATTGAAAGAGATAAAATTCAGTTATTCGGATCAGGCCAGGGGCTGCCAACTGGGTATCTCCCCCAAACTGGGTAATGTTCTACAGTTATTAGGGACTTCTCTCAATTAACTCTACTTTGCTTACACAGAGTGCTGCAGAGTGCATGTGAGGCAAAACTAGTCACTCTACTAAATTAGACTTCTTATTGAAGAGCTAATCTGGTGAATTGTAACCAGTGCATCACCACCAGGCCAGCCAGGAAGACTACAATTCCAATTCAATTTGTCCCCTGTTTTAACCTCCGAGAGTGACAGTTCTCTGTGGATTAACACTGACATTTAGACATACCATAAATCAACAACTGAGTTCAATTGCGGGATAATTTAATTTATTTTGGCTACAAAAATGTTAAATTTCATTCAGGTCAACTTTCGAGTAATTTACCAACAGTTTCAGATGTTTAAAACTACCATTGCACTAGCACCAGTGAAGTAAAATCAATTGAGCTGAATGAGAGTTGAATTCAATTATTATTTACTGAGGAAAAGTTAATTTTCATCTTCTCCTCCTGTGGTATAAATAGAAGCGGATCAGCCTGGAAACCCAAGAGTGGATTTGATTCACTGCATTTTCCATTGAATCAATAAATGCAATTATTCCGATTTCTGTAGAGCAGCAAAAACCTGGTAGCTCGTGAAATTCTTGATACTACAGTTCTCGCTAGATGTTCCCCTTGATATGGGATTGACTCGGCGCGGTGCCCCACACAGCCAGTCAAAGGAAGGCAATCTTGCTCATGCAAACTTAAAACTCAGTTTGGGAATTCCTGATAAAACAATTTAGCCTTGTCGTATTCGTTGGTGAAACAGTTATGTGATAGTGCAATATTTGACAGACATGTTTGCTGTGATCTGGTGGTTTGTCTTCCAAGTTTTTATTGCAGTGGTTCTCCTGCACTGTAGGTCCTGGTGTACTTATACAAGTATGATATAATACCCTGGAACTAGTCAATACCTATATTGCTTTTCTTCAATCATAGCTGCCTCTGAGGCTGATCTAAGAGTCTGATTGACCCGTCATTATTGAGTTATCTCCCTTTGTATTTACACTCTTTATTACAAGTGTCCATTTCCGTGTGGCTCACGATAGTTTTGTTTTGTCAGCTACGATACTTGGACAGAAAGATTGAATTTCGCTGTGCCTGATGAAGACACGGGGAATAAATTGTCATGAAAGAAAGTAGATTTATCTGTAGTAGAAGCAGCATAATTTTTTGTGACTTGAAGACGTTAGCCATCTGTGCTGCGATATGCACATCAATCACAGTGTCTATCAGGAAACAGGAACACTGTGGTTTTTCCAAAGAGATAAAATGATTAAAAAGGTTTCTGAATGAAGTCGTATTCTTGAAGCTAAGTCACCAAGCAGCCACCTAAATGAAATAATTTTCCAGTATTTGCAAATGTCGGTTAAATAATCGTCAAGAAAGCTGACTTCAGCACATTTGAGAATGGTTACTTGTATAGCCATCTTGCTCTTTTTAACCAGCCAGGACATCTCGTGTTTTTGTCACTGACCTGATTAGTGTGGAAGCACTCCCTTCAGTTTGCCTGTCCCATGAGCCTTCGCTGATCATTCAGTTTCGACTTGATGGCACATTTGGTGAGAGTTCTTCTTGAATTGCCTGATTTCCAACCCTCCTCTATGCTCAATCAGACTCCAAGACTTGTGATGAATTCGGGCTGCGATTTAATTTGGCCATCATTGGATGCCCAGATTGAATGTTGTTGGGTCACTGCAGGGGGCAACCACTTCAAACATGGTCGCCTGGGCCAGCTCAGGAGATGAAACTCCCAACATGGTGGCCATCTTGGACTCATTTTGTTGTCCTTTCATGTGAGCCCATGTTCGCTCTTCTGTCTTCCGTCATTATCAGCGGAGGTAGGGGTTGCAGTTGTGCACTGTGGTGTGCTCCCGCCACTGCCATCATGGACAGCCAATCAAGTGACGCCATCGAGGGATTTGCCCCATTCAGAGGATGTTGTTTTTTCTCAAACGAATTTTCTAATTTGACGAGCAAAATGTGCATTAGTTTATACAGAAATGAGCACTTCTTGTTAAAACACATTCTCCAAATCCACTGACTCTGAAAAGTCATTATTTTAGATTATTTTTTAATGATAAAATTTTGGAAGGTTTACTGGTGGTAATCATATAAATGAATGTTTCGTTTTAAAGATGCAGTAAAGGGGATTCTTGTGATAATGAAGATATGCTGAAAATAGAAAAAATTTATTGCTCTGATTGTCATTGAAATAAGACCTTTGTGGTATTGTGAAGTATTTTGTACAATACATTTGTGATACTCCTTTGGTGGACAAGGGACTGAGGCTAGGGCCCTTGTCTCCTGAAGTGGGCTGATTAGCTGGTGATGACCAGTAGACCCCAGGCTTGTGATGTGCCGACTGCAGTGGCTGAGGGTTAGATGTTCCTTCAAGTGATCAACCAGCAAGTGTCCCTGATTGTTTCTTTGCCAGAGGGGAGGATGTTTCCGTGGACATCAAGAGACCTGTCGGGAGTGTTGACACTGACAGAACAGCTCTTCCAGTGCATTGTCTCTAGGGGAATTGGTTCTCAGGAAATCTGTATGTTACTTGGAAACTATATTATAGGTTGAGGGTAGTCAGGTTTTCAGTGTTAGAAGGGAAGGATATAGAAGAAGAAGATTTATTGTACATAAACAACCACAGGGGGCAGGGTACAAAACATGAACATGACTAATTAAAAACATTGATATACACAATACAAATACAAATATTGCTTTGATTATATTGTGTCAAGAGGCGAAATTTTGGGAGGTACTGCTCTGTAGGGTTGTGGCCAGGTTATGGGTGTGAGGTGGTAACAGGAGGGGCAGGGGCAGGGGCGCTGGATAGGGGAGGGGCTTGTCTGTAGGCAGGCTGCTGTGTGGGGGGAGACAGGCATGTCTGAGTGCTACAGGGAGGGGTGAGGTTGAGGGCACCCACCTGGAATCACAGCACTAATTGTCCTCATGTGGAAAGAATGGACATTGATTGTTCCAATATCAAACTGAAAGGAAAATATTTTTGAATGGAAATTGCTGCTTAGACTTATTTGCTTGTGGCTACTGATCGCCTGGTATTTAGATGTGTGGACAAGTGTTAGTAGATATAGAGTGATGAAGCTTGTATGACACATGTACACTGCCCCATGAGGGTGTTATGTACAATACAACTCTGTTCTATTCTAGTGAAAACACAAATGGGTTGGTAGCATTTTGCTATTATATTAAGCAAACCACATGTTTCAACTTGAAGAGCACTTTAAAGTGAGAATTTGCTTGACTATAAAAAGTAATCAAGACTTTAGTATGAACGTTGCACATAAGGTCATTGCAGTGAGAACAAGGCCTCCAGCAATACTTCACCAGTAAATAAGTTTCAAATTTCAAGCTATCAATTATTCAGTACAATGTGGGGATAGTTAGCTGGAGGGAAAGTTGCTGAACTTTCTTCAAAGTAGGCAGCCAAAAAACACCTTGGAAAAAGATGCTTGTTCAATTCCAGTAGTTTTTGCCAATCTAAGGTGCCCATGCGTCATTGGCGCTTCATGATCACATTCTTAAAGTTGGCTAAATTCAGATTGAACAATAAAGGGCTGATTG